TTAAATTCCAGTGAAATATATTTATGTTTGTGGTTGTAATGTGACAAAATATGGAAAAGTTCAAGGGGTATGAATACTTTTGCAAACCACTGTATGTGAGCAAAGTAATTGCCCCTGTGTGTGGTGTTTACACTATAGTTACAGTTGTTGAAGTCTGGATTGCTGCAATGTGTCGGTACATTTCTAGACAGCCACACATCAGGAATAAGAAAGCTAGACTACAGAAGTATGATTTTATGATGGTCACGTGCCATTATCACAAAGTTAATAATGTTAAATCAGAGCCATGACATACTAAGATTAGATGTCCTGAGGTGAAACTGAGCAGACATGTTTCAAATTGATGCATGATAGATAGTGTTTCATGACTAGTTCTCGTTTCACGGCCTGTTTGGATCTTTTTGGGGTAACAATACATCGAGCTGCGGATCGACTTGCAGCGCTGTTTGTTGACCCTGAACGCAGAAGATAATTGTGAAAAAAAAATGGACTCCAGATTCATGTCAGCGCTTGGGATGAAGAAGTTTGTCACGCACATTAATCCTCTACATGCAACACTTCTCTGAAAACGTTAAAGTATGTGCACGTCTATGAAAAAAAGTGTGTGTGTGCTCAGAAAGCGCACCGAGGGAAATCAGAAAGCACCCGGCAGCCCTAAAACTCCTCAGAATGAGGCCTCATAATTACACTTTTACACATCGACGCACCCTGACACACACACACACACACACTTGTAATTACAGTCTGTATCACAATTCCATTAATTCTTGTAGGGCCTTTAGGCGATTTTCCATCATTTATGTGGTCACGGTTTCTACTATGAAGGCTTTTGTAGGAACATGAGGTCACAGCGGGTGACTTTGTATTGTTCGCCTGTTAGGTCATGAGTTCAATTCCCAGCTGGCCCAGTGGCTCGCTTCTGTTCCTGCAAGTCAGAGAGTCCCTTCATTCAGATTTTGCCACCCCTGATGGGTCCTGTTGTTTAACTGATTGAGAACATGATGGGAATAATGAATCTAAACAGAGAGAGACACACAGAGAGAAAGGCTCCTAAAGGAAAACACCTATAAATGAGTATCCAAGCAAGTAATTGAATGGCCTTTGGCTTGGTTAAATAAGAATCACTGTTCTTTGTAATAAACATGTTAAGTTGTTTTATTAGCACAAAGGATTTTATGAGCAAAAAACGCCGTTCAGAGTTGTTACAAATCAGTTCCAGGTGATCACAAGAGGTCAGCTCTGACAGCTCCCTTCACATTTGGTGGTAAATGATGTACCCCAAAATGTTTGGTTGTCCATTACCTCCTGCCCTGTCCAACAGGTGATGATGTTTTAGTAAATATTTCAATAAATTTGGAAATCTAGACTGGGCTGCAGTAGCTCAGTGGTGAGTGCTCTGGCTTTGTAATTAAAGTAAAAATGCAGCATATTTACTTCAGACTGTTGTCCTGAGATTGACACAGCATGCCACAGCGACCACAGTGCGTCTCAAATGTTCAGAAAAAACCTTCCCAATACTGCTTCCTGGAATCCAGTTTAAGACAATCTGGGCAAAACAGACATTTCTATTGAGAAGGATTTTAATAAATATTTCAATAAATTTATGTCAGGAAATTCGGAATATTCTCAAGGATCACAAGCTGTGTTTCCATTGACCATAAAAATGTGCAAATTAGAATTTCAAAAACAAATTTGCTTAATGGAAGCACGTCAATTTTGAAGAAACTTACGGTTTTCGACAAAACGTTTTTGTGTTAGAATATGGTGGGGGGGTTTTTCAGCCATATCGAAATTTTCAATGGAAACACTTTTTTAGCATCACTGGAGTCACATGATGAACAACTGGATGTTTCTACTGGCGAAAAAGATGACGAAGAAGAAGACAACAGGAAGTAAAAGTAGTTAAATCACCGAAGTAAAAGAAAATGGTAAAATCACAGACTACGTTTCCCAAAAACGCTGCATATGTAGCCACTCCCAAGTATAAGGGGCTCGTCGCTCGAAAGCCTCGATGAAAGACGCCGACGTCTCCTCTGATGGCTGATGATGAGCGCTAGTGTCGTGTTAGCAATATGCTATGTGTTTACATCCACTGCCGCCATGTTTGTAATGACTTCTCGTGAGAACAAGCGTATTCACGTGTGACTTTAATAGCATTTCTTACTTAATGGAAACACCACATTTTGCAAAGCTGTGTTTTCGACATTAACAGAATATTGACAAGGTTTTGCACACAGTTGCAATGAAACGCAGCTACTGTTTAACTGAACTTTGTTGGGTCATGTTAGCTTAGTTGGAGGTCCTACAGCTTTGATAAAACCAAACTTATGTGTGGTCCAGGAAAACCTCCGAAAGTGGCCCAAGGGAACAACTAAGAGCTGTTTGTAACGACAGATCTGATCAACCTAAAATATTCTGTAAAAAAAGCATTGTTTTCTTCATCTTAGATTTACAGCAGTGTATCCTCATGGCAGCAGGACAGAGAAGGAAACGGAGATGTCAAAAGGAACGACAGAGAGCAGGAAAGAGAAAAAAGTGAAGCGATGGAGAAAGGCAGAAGCCCAGCTGTGTTTTTCCAGCAGAGAGCTCAGCTGAGATGACTGAGAGCGGCAGACATGACACTCTGTCAGATAGACAGAGATATGAAGTCTGAATGTCAAGAGACAAAAAGAGTGCTTCTGGTCATGTGCACTTGCATTCAATTTCCTTTTATCTGTATTTGTGTGAGGAAATCATTTTCTGCGCGTGTGTGTGTGTGTTTTGTGTGCATGTCGCGGGGAAGTGCAGTGGCTCCGGGGTGTAAGGATGGAGAAACTGTCAGTGTGTGAGAGAAAGCATTGTGTCTGATTGTGTGTGTTTGTGCGCTGAGGGGTGACTGAGTGTGTTTATCTTGTGTGTGTAGGGATTAGAGATGTTTCCCTGTGTGTGGTAGAGACTAGAACGTGAGAAGAGGATTCCTCTCCACGTAGTTACATCTTTGATGTATCACACRCTTTGTGCCCTTAGACGGTGTGCAGGAGTGTGTGAGTAAACTGAGCTCGTTCCTTCCTTTGTTAGCCCGCATACGCTCTGTGGAATCAACGAAGAAACATTTGATTTTTTTGTCATATTAGCCCACGTAAAGTCACATATTAGCCCCCATCTTTTACGTTTCTGATGTGTGTGTGAAAATCCACTTTGACCTCACTTTCATATTTAACTCACAAAGATTATTATCTGTGTTTTCATGCCAAGCATGGAAAGAAAGCAAACATCTCCATTTCCCAAAACGCGGAGCTACTTCATAACGGGTCGTGTTTATACTTTCAAATCTTTCAAATTCGGAACATAAATGATCTGAGAATTTTTGGTTCATAAGAAAACAGCGACAACGGACAAAAAAAACAACCAAATACCTAAAACACATACAATATAAATGGCAGAAGTATTACCCGTGTCTTGAAGAGCTCTTGGAATATTAAAGGATGTGTGCAAAACTGTGAACTTAAAAATCTTTTAGCTGAAAAAATGTCAACAAGTAAAGAAACTAAAATGAAAATAAAGATTTTGTTTCATATTATTTCCAGCAATACACAGCTTGCATGATAAAAAAACTCTATAGATCTGTAATCCTTCACAGTCTGTCCGTTTTGTTCACTTAGATCAAAGTCTTAACAGGAAGTTATACTTTCAAAATAAAATCAGAATTTCACAATCATGTCAACATAAACTCTTGTTTACGTTACTGCTAATAATATAAAATATGAACTTTTATAATCTTTATCTATGGCTCTAACAATAACAGAGCACTTGAGAAAATATTTGAGAACCCTGAAACAAATAAAACCTTTTTCATACATACACGTCGCAAACTGAGGTGTCCRAAAACGGAAACTTTATCATTTTGAATAGTTTTTTTTTTATTCATCTATCTATTTTCTTAACCTGCCTTCTGTTAAAGGTTGCAGGGAGCAGATGTCTGTCAGATCACTGAACAGGAGATGAGGTACACCTTGGGCAGGTTGTCAGTCCAACACRGAATCACACCAAGACAAACGAAACATGAGACAGATTCTTACAATAACTCTCACTTAGTGATAATGTCTAGCACAGGTGCAGAAAAAAAAAACGATCCTGGTTTCAAACTTGTAACCTTTTTGCTGTGAAGTGACAGCTCTATCTACTGTCTGTCATTCCACCCTGGTTTGAAAACTTGGCTGCAAAAYTGGAGGCGAGGAACTCCGTCATCCTGGGGCAGCTCAGAGTAGAGCCAGAGTCAGGTAAGGTGATTTGATTAGAAAGGGCGCTTCTACCAAAATACAAACAATTTGCTGCTTAAAAAAATCTTTTAATGGGAAGAAACTTGAATTAGAAATGAACTTCCAAGGTTAAACACTGATCTGGACAAATGTTGGTAGATGGTTTTTAAYTGGAGCTAACAGGGTTGAACTTTAGAAAGGAGTGTTTGTGAGTCCTCCAACAAATGATTCAGCCCCGTGACTCAGCAACGTCTTTCCATACCTACCATATCCTGTGTTGCAGCTCAGACTCCCTCCTGCTCAGGATAATTGTCTGACAATTTAAAAKGTCTGCTGTTTTCCACCCACAGGTTTTTCATGCCAATGGTGACGCCACCGAAGTGGTTCTCAATCGGATCCCGCAGCCGGTTCTGGCTCGCTTCGTACGGATCCGGCCTCAGGCGTGGAAGAACGGCATCGCTCTGCGGTTCGAACTTTACGGCTGCCAGATAACAGGTAAGATGATTTTTATCACTCGCCACYATGAAAGACTRGACATCCTTTAATAATCTGTCTGTRGATGTGTCCAAAGTCAGGGGACGGGTCCTGCAAGGGCAGAATTTGTTGACCCCTTACGTCACAGTGCCGCACCAGAGGCTGTCTATATTCAAAGATTTTTATTTATTTAGGGATGACAGATCTCTTTTTCAAGGGAGGGTGGGGGAAACCGGAGTACCTGGAGAAAACCCACACAAGCACAAGGAGAACATGCAAACTTCACACAGAAAGACCCAAGGTCCGAATTGGGGATCAAACCCAGGACCTTCTTGCTGCGAGGCGTTTGTGCTAACCACTGAGCCATTGTGCTGCCGATGTGGCTGACGATTTGAGGAACGGGTCCAATGAATCCTTCTCGGCTCACCATATCCCATAATGCATTGCAGGCCGACCAGAGGTGTTTTTCCTTCTCCTAATGGCGGACAAAGCGAGAAAAAGGAGTACAGTTTTAAAAAAAAACTGGTGGTACATAAATTAAAAGTTTCAAGCGGTTGTGTTAATGCTATTTGTTTGACATGTGTTTTTTTAATTCTTGACAGAAATCAAACAAGCTGGTATAGCAAAACAAACATGTATGTATGGCAGGTCCTTTAGTTCTTTAAATATTGCCTTCAAGCTAATTTTGTTGTTTTGTGATATTTATAATACTAATATATTGATATTTTTGCTATTTTCTATCTGTTTGCGCCTCTGTTTAGTGGGGTAGACAGAGTAGGCCGGGTCCTTCAAAGAACCCAGATCCTGAATTTGGACCACCYGCTTCAGATGTTATCATCCATGAAATGGACCTTATTAGGCATTATCAGTCCCCTAAAATGGCTTCAGAATGTCCCGCCAGTGCCGGTTAGCAGGTTCCCCCTCCCATATAGAATGGCTTCCAATTGTCAGCTGGTTAGTATGAGGCATAAAGCCACTATCTGGTTAATATGAGGCATAAAACCACTATCTGGTTAATATGAAGCATAAAGCCACTATCTGGTTAATATGAGGCATAAAGCCACTATCTGGTTAATATGAGGCATAAAACCACCATCTGGTTAATATGAGGCATAAAACCACTATCTGGTAAACATGGGGCATAAAAAATCTGGTTAATATGAGGCTTAAAGCCACCAAGGTTAACCTTAGAGCAGATGACATGGTTAGCACTAACCTCCGACGAACATACAGTAAGTATATTGTGGCCTCTCAATAGGGCAATGGGTAGAGTGTTGAGTGGGAGACCAGGGTTCGAGTCAGACATGGACGCCAAAAATTTATTACAATATGTTTTGGTTATTTACACATTCATTGTCATTAATATATTAATGCACTAGGGGGCACTGTTGGGATAGTCTGAAGCCTAGAAGGCACAGTATGGACCCTCTGAAGCCATTGTATGGGACTGATAATGGCTAATAACGTTCATTTCATGGACTGATAACATCAGAATCCCCTTATTTGGACACAGCCAGTGTGCGTTCATTAGTCAGACACTGTACTAAAATTTGTTGTGGTAGTAGTTTTGAGTCTTCCCCATTACACACTCCAAGCACTGACAGATTGAGTAAGATTTCTTGTTTAACTTMGGCACATAAGGTAGTGGTTCTCATGCTTTACTTCATTTTGAATTATCACTGAATGTATATTTTGTCAATCTACCTGTGGGATTCCATTTTGACGATTCTTTTTTTTTTTAAATGCTGGGTCGGAGAGTGGGGTCAAAGCAAAAATAACTTCCCAGAAATCCTTTCTAAAGAAAAATCTGCTTCCTCTGTATATATTTATAAAATCTAATGATAATTCTTTGTACTTTGATCTGTTTCTCCCTTTCACACAACACACCCACTCTTGTGCACTCACACTCTTGCCCTCGCTCTTTCATATACATATCCCCTCTTTCTCTGACTCCCACTCGCAGAACACACACACACACACACACACACAGAGATGCACAAAGAGACACACTTGGTCCTAATAGAATAATACTAGAGTGTCATGTGTGGGTGATAACATCAGAGAGTAACAGGCTCTCAGCTTTCATCCGCAGCCCTGGCAAACAAACACAATTTCAACCAGCATAATCAGCTCAATACTATAAATAGATAAAACTTAATTATACAGTCTGTGTTTGTGTGTGGAGGAACAGTAAAAGAAAGGGGATTTGAATCCATTTGACTGGGTTTATGTGTGTGTCTAAGCCTCACTGTATCATTATTAGGTTAGGGCCTCTCCCTGCTACCAGAAAGCGACCATCATGGAGAGGGACAGAAATGCTCCTTTTTTTTTTTTTTTTTACAGGAGGGCTATTTCAGCACCCACACAAATCATAATCACACAAAAACAATACGCCAGACRAGGAGAGAGGAATAAATCAGCTGTCCTGCCCAAACTCGTGTCCACCAGTCCTATTTTTCTGTTTTGCTTTAACACCTGAAATTGCATTATATATCACCTTACTTTCCTCGTCACCCTCAGCTCTGAGAACACGTTCAGCAAACTTTTTTTTTTCTCTCATGTCTGTGTTCCGTTTCTGGCACTTCACAATTTCCATTATGGAGGTGAGGAAAACAGCAACTTTACATGCAACGTCTTGACATGTTCCTTCTCGTTCAGCTTTGTCAGGAGAAGTGAGGGAGTTTTACAGTTTTTTTAAGTAAACAAAGGGAAATAGTTTGTGCTGCTACATTGAATGTAAAGCCTAGCATTCCTCCTGCTTTCATTTTAGATGAGCACGTGTGTTGAGGAAGACTAAACGTTACCTCACAGCTGTAATAAAGTGAAAGTTACGATAATTTCTGTTTACAAATGGTCACCCTCTTGAATGGCATTGCCTCTAAAATGCAATTAATGGGGACCTTCACTCAGGCTATACACGTGACTAAATCCGCTCGACACTGATGCATGTACAAACTCTCGTAGCAGTTGCATTGAATTCAATGGAGCTTTGCCGGTCTAGCTGTGTTTAAACTTAAATAAACTTGGGAAAACAGCATCAAACTCCACCGCAAGGACCACAAAACATTGAGCTATGGTTCTTATATCACATTACTCAGGATACAACCCTCATCTCCACATGGAAGGAGTATTTTTGATCACTTTTCCCAAGCTAAGATGCTAATTAACTGCTGGATTTGAGTGACAGGATGAGCTGATTTTGACCAGAAAAAAGTTCAACCAAGGACTTAACGTGTGCTCCAAACATTTTATCGCAGGTAAAAGACCAATACTGGACCATTCGGCCCTATCCCTGCACTTTCTGTTAATAAGCAGGTACAGGTTTTCTMTAGCCAACTGCTAGCTTTACTCCTAGCATCGATACTAGCCTCATACAGCGATCTACTGCCATCAGTGACAATATTATACTTACTCAAATTTTAAACATCATTAAGTTTCATTAAGCGGTAAAAATACACACAGACGCACCAAAAGACAATAGATGCAACAAGATAAGCTAWAAGAAATCGGTAAAAACATCAACCTTTTTAACAATTCTGCTCGCTTTCCAAGTCTGTCGAAGACCTCAGCCCTCCAGACAACCTTTCAAACGAAATTTCTCGTGATTCCTGATGTCGGATGTGTCGAAATTTGCTCCAGGAACGTCTTTTTCTGTTACGGTAGTAAGACAAGCTGCATTTCTATTGACCATGAAAATGCGCAACTTAGAATTTCGAAATTAAACTTGTTCAATGAAAACACGTCAATTTCGAAAAAAAATTACGTTTTTCGACTAAATGTTTTTGGGCTAAGAAGAGGTGGTTTTTCGGCCGTATCAATTGGTGTTTTTTGCAAAACTGCAATGGAAACACTTTTTTCACATCACAGGAGTCACGTGATCAACAACCGGTTGTTTCTACTGGCGAAAAAGATGACGACGAAAACGACAACAGGAAGTAAAAGTAGTARTAATATCACAGAAGWAGTAAAATAAAGTAKTAAACTCACYGACTWCAATTTCCCAAAAACACAGCATACGTAGCCGCTCCCAAGTAGGGGCTTGTCTCTGGAAAGCCTCGATAAAAGACRCCGACGTCTCCTCTGATGATGAGCGCTAGTGTCGCGTTAGCAATATGCTATGTGTTTACATSCATTGCCACCATGTTTGTAATGACTTATCGCAAGAAAAATCGTATTCAGGCATGACTTCAATAGCATTTCTTACTTAACAGAAACACCGCAGTTGCAAAACTGTGTTTTTTCAACATTAACAGAATATCGACAAAGTTTTGCACACCTTTGCAATGGAAACGCAGCTACTGACACTCCATAGAATCCACTCCGTCTGWCCGATCTTTTGTGCGAGTAGCAGATAATGTATGCAAAAATGTGTGATGTCATGAGTGAAAGTCCCCATTGCAGATACTGTACATCCATTGATTACTCTCTGAGTTATCATTGGAACACAGACACAAATAAAAACAATTTCTTCCTTCGCCTTCGGTGGCATGTAATAAATGTGATTTCTTTTTAAAAAACACTTTTATAGCCAAACATATCTGCTAATTTCCATGCAGTGTCTTTTTTTGTCTTTCCTGTGCATAGACATGCAGAAAAGCCCACACTGTAACACACCACCACAGTGTGGCATTGCCCTACACAGGCCTATAAAGGCAGAAATAAAGCAGTCAGTCAGTGACATGTCATTAACTTAAATCACACTTTTATGCCTCCTGCACTGCCTTCCTCTCACTTCCTGCCCATCTTTCTTCGACGTCTCTGTTTTTTCTCCTCCCTCGTTCTGCTATCCCCTCTGTCCTTCTTTCCCCTTCACTGACAGCTTCCATTCCCATGTCTCTCCAGCCCCTCTTTCATTTTCTTCCCTCCATCGCCTTCCTTAAATCTTCCTGCGCTCACTCAACAGCAGCAGCAGCTTTTTCCTCACCTTAATCCTGTTTTATTTTAACACCCCTAGCTCTTTATCAATCACTTAATATTATCACCCACCACCCAAGGCGAAGGCGCCATGATAACGTTTTTGCTCGAGTGTGTTTGTTTGCTCTGTCCTCATATATCACTGAATGGATTTTAATCAAAGTAATTGTTGCATGTTCCTTTACAGTTGATTAAGCTTTGGAGCTAACCAAGATGGCCGCCACAGCAATCTTTTCAAACACAAAAACAGGAATAAGTCAGTCACTTCTACAGCTATTAAGTTCAAATTTGGTATGGTTGTAGCTGAAGGTTACTCACATCACATACTCCATCTGCTGCACGTTGTGCAAGATTTTAGCTTAAAACTTTAGCAACAATTGTTGGAGCAAACTATATCAACAGCCTCTTTTAATCAATTATTCAGAAGCTGCTCATGAGGTGAACTTCTAACTGATGTTCTTATGAAGTAATTTGGATTTTCAGGACTTTTATTACATCTCTCACCAGGGGCGGTTCTAGGGGTGGGGCATTGGCCCCTACTGAAATTTGATTGGCCCCCTGAAGTGCCCCTGTCTTGTCACTCATCTCTTTGCCCAAGAGTGATGATGCTGGATGCAGTTCCATGTCTAAACACTAGAGGTGCTAATGAGCGAAATAGAAAAGTCTACTGTGAATCAAGCTGACTGAAGTATTTTTCTTTTCTTAAAATTTGAAAAATCCTGTAGAAAAAGTATTTTAACTCACAAATGTTGGCTGGATTATCTCAAATGTGTGTTTGAGAGTATTTTCTCTATGTACTGTAAAATGCATGTAAAACTGGTAAGGAGAATTGACAGTGCAAGCTGTTTTAAAATTATTTTACAAGTGTTTAAATGCGTGACTGGTAAAATATAAACACCATACCAAAACCAGCAATTTGTGTGCAAGGATGCTAAATAAATACTTGGCCCCTCTATGAATAGTGTGGCCCCTTGATGGCCCCTTACTCAGAAAAATCCTACATCCACCACTGTCTCTCACCAGGTTTATGTGATGTGTGTGTGTGCAGCCATCCAGGCGTGTTTGTGCCGGCTCCTTTGGCGTGTTTTACAGCTGCTGTGGGAGCTGGTTATCAGGGAAAGCTCAGCTGGATCGTGCGCTCGCCCGTGTGTGGGTGAAATACAAGAACATCCGAGAGAAAATGTGTGTGTGTGACTTTGAATATTTTGCAAGTGCACGTATCGCTTTGTGTGAGTGAGTAAGTTTAAGAGCTCTCATGCTGGTGTGTTATATCTGATTGTTTCTGCTGAGAGCAAAAGAGTCGGTGTTCTCGTCGACTCCCACCGCTCTCCTGGATTAAAAGGCCCCCGCTGGAGAGCTGCAGTCAAAGCAAAAATAAAGCAGTACAATTACATCTGTTCGGAATCCTGACCGCTGATCATTTTCCGTGTATCTTATAGAGCTGGAGGGAGCTCGCAGAGTCCGCTGTTGTTTGTTGCCGATGCATTATTTACCATATCGAGGCACCGTTGCGGGCTTCGCAGCATTAAACATTCATCTCCGCAAAGACCTGAAGAATGTCACCATCAATCACCGTCACCCCTCGCTGTCAGCCCTCTCCCTCTCCTTCCATCATTCTTTTACCTTTCTATTCACTCGCTGATTTTTCAGTTCATCTCCCTGCTTGACCTTTTGTTTATCTCTTTTGTGCCTTTTTTCTTCTTAAGCTCTTTTTATCGCCCTCCACAAAAAGCTAATTTGGAGACTACAGGTTTTTTTTCACCAAGTCTAAGTGTGTGGTCTTGTTCACCTGTAACATTTGCACAAAAAAATCCCATGAACCACTGTAACCATATTTTAGTAAAACCTACTTTTATCTACAGCTGCCTAGCTTTAGGAGGTAGCCCCATTCAAGATGGCCGCCACAGCTAAGCAGCCTTAGCAAACACAAAAATGACTCTTTTCTAGATCTAAAACTCAAATCTGGCATGAGAGTTTTTTTTCCTCACACCCGAATATTTATCAAAACTCATTCATCAATGTAATAAACAACATTTCTTTGATCTGACACGTGTTTTTTTTTTCAGTCCGTTGATTCGTTTGGGAGATATCTGACTCAGTTCCCCCTGCAGATAAACACTCACCCACCCAGCTCCTCCTCCTTTTGCTTGGCTAAAGTTAATATGTCAGATTTGCTGCAGAAGGATAGAAAACCATTAATGAAAGTAGGTGAAGATAAACAGCTCGGCGAAGCTCCAGAGTGTAACACATCCGTTGTTGTAATAGTCGAGATCAAACAAAAACTGACTCTAAATTATTCCAGACCTGAGAGTTTCGTTTGGCAGGAAGAGTTCTCATTAAATAGTTAAAGACAATGGCATATTTTGGCTTCTTATCATATGGGTCAAAATCACTTGAAGTTGTGTCATAAAGCACAGCTTACCTTATTTTTTTATTTAATTTGTCAGTAAAAATCTTAAATTTCATGAGAAATGTCTCATTGTTGGAAACATAAAAAACAAAGAAATGTTTTCAGTGTGAGTTACTGTGGAAACACAACTCGGAGGAGGCATTTATAGGATTGTTTTAAGAGAAAACAAAGGGTTTTGGCAGACTTATTAAGTAATTTGATACATAAAGCTGACAAAACAGCAGCGCAAAATAAAAAAAATCTAAACAACACGACCTTAGAGTGCAACTATAATGGATGTTTTAATCCTACACAGTTCTTAAAACGGATGAACTTTATAACTTTATATGTGTAAATCTTGGCTTTAATATAAAAGCAACAAGTTTATTTTGTGAACTAAAGTGTGGCTTATTTTGCAGCCGATCAAACTTGACTTTGTCTAATTCTGATTGATTTTTTTTTAACCCTGATGATGTTGAAGCAGAAATAAATAAATACGAGCTTTGCTGCTTGTAAGCCAACAAAAAAAACCAGATTTTTCCCACCAGCGTTGGATGAAAAATATCAAAATGTTTATTTCAGACTTCCTCAAATTCCCATACATAGTACTATATTTGTTCTCTCCATTCTTTTCAGATGCCCCCTGCTCGGAGCTTCAAGGCATGTTGTCTGGTCTGCTTCCGGACTCCCAGATCTCTGCGTCCTCCATGAGGGACATCCACGGCTCCATGGGGGCAGCCAGGCTGGTGGCCAGCAAGTCGGGCTGGTATCCTAATCCAACACAGCCCATAGCAGGAGAGGAGTGGCTACAAGTATGTAACTACACCTTAAAGGGCCAGTATTTAAATACATTACAACAGGGATATTCAACTAAATGGCTTCGGGGGCCACAGTTAATGCAGACCAACGGAACAGGGATGAAACATCCAGCAATTAAAGTCATTATGTAAATAAACCAAGTATTACAAAGACCTGTTACCTTTGAAATAGTTCATTTTGCTGCATTTAGTCATGGATATGACATACTGAACCCTATGCAATAAATGTAATGATAGTAAAACTATATCAAAAACAAAAATAACACATTCTGCCTCCTATTTAACACAAATAATATTTGATACCTCTGACTTGCCAACTTTTAAACCAATTTTATTTTCACTTTCGTAGTTTTATCTTCAACTACTTGTAGTTTTAACTGTCTTAGCTAGTCATAGCAATGATTTTTACCAGCTTCTAGCCAAGATTCTGACATTTCTGTAGACACAAACATGTCTATGTTTAATTAAAAGAACATAAAGTAATTAAAGTAGAAAACATTGGGTTTGGGCTTAAGAGATGAATGAACTAATTGGCGGGCCGCACTTTGGTCACTCGCGGGCCAGACGTGGCCCATGGGCCGCCAGTTGAATAGCCCTAAACCACAGCAATTTATGCAAAATTAGAGGATTTTTCAGGGTCTCAGTTTCACTATTTTAAGTCTTAAATAGCTTTTTCTACTTTGCAGGTGGATCTCGGCACGCCTAAGATGATCCGTGGCATAATTACCCAGGGTGCAAGAGGCTTGGAGGGCAGCCCCAGCGCCGAGAACCGAGCATTTGTCAGGAAGTACAAACTAGCGCACAGCTTGAACGGCAAAGACTGGAACTATATTATGGACAGCAAGACTGGGTTTGCAAAGGTAAACAACACACACATGCAAAATTAGCAAAATTAATCCCACACACACACACATTTGATAAAACAGTCATTTCACTCACATTTCTTGTTCTCAACCAGTCCTCATTGATATCCAAACGACTCCCCTCGCCTTCTCTTTTTTCTTTCTCATTTATTTTATTTCTGCATCAGCTCTGAAAATAATTAGTTTTAATCACCTTCCTTCTCCAGTTTCTGCCTCTGCTTATGTCTTTTTTTTTCCTGAACCCTTTCTGTCTCTCTTTCACTTGTGCGCTCATCCTCTGTCTCTCATGGGTGTTAATTAAAAATGTCTTTTCTGCATCACTACTCAACACTGTTGGCAGTCTGGTGCACCGTGAGACAGGGCACTTCATTCTCCTTTCTGAGACTGCCTTAAAACGCTTTAATAGTACTACTGAGTGTCAGGATTTTCCTCCCGATGTGAAAAATCCTGTTCTCTCTTATCTGCCTGTCTTTGTAAATGAGCATCCTGGGAAAATCATCAAAGTTTTAAAAAAAATTAAAAGAACACACAAAAAAACAGAAGATACAGTCATTCATGAAACCAACAGCAATCCTACATTGTTTGTAATAAAGTCTTTTTTTTTCTTTTTTTGCCTGAGGCTGCTGAGCTTTAAAGTTTATTTGAAAAAAGAAAGGGAACACACTTGTTATTTTTTATGACTCATGTCATACATGCTGGGCTCTCCCTTAGAGATAGGGTGAGAAGCTCAGTCATCCGGGAGGGACTCAGAGTAGAGCCGCTGCTCCTCCACGTCGAGAGGAGCCAGTTGAGGTGGCTCGGGCATCTGGTAAGGATGCCTCCTGGACCCCTCCCTGGTTAGGTGTTTCGGGCACATCCCACCGGGAGGAGGCCCCGAGGAAGACCCAGGACACGCTGG